TCACTTTCATTCACATGAAAACACACATAGAGGTTTGCAAAGCATACAGTCACTGCTAAAGAATGAATAGTGAAAAGAAGAGGGTGTCCTGCTACTCATGCACCCAACAGTTTCAACATATACTAGGTTGTATATTTGAATGGGTGGCAATTTTCCTTAGTTCTAACCATTTGCTTAATTTGCATTGATTTTATTTTGGGATCATGTTCCTGTTCTGTCTACATTTCCTGCTACCGCTTTTGCAGTTGTGGCACAGTGCAATAACTGCCTTGGCAGCAGATACTGAGAGACCCATAAAAAATATAATCATATAAAATTCAAAAGAATTTATAGTAAGATTTAATGATATCTTATCATATAGATGATTGGATAGGTTATATTTACAAACTCTTACAAATTACACTATTTTTTTCCGGGAGAATACAGTGTAATATATAAAAAAAATCCAAAAAAATTTATAAACGAATTCTTCCCCGTAGATGATATCTTAATTTAATTATTCTATGCAACCTTCCTTCTTCCGGCAAACGCATGAATATTCGTATGGCTCATTTTAAATTTATCACTTTTATTATTTCTCTTGTTATTATTGAATTAATTCAAAATTAATAATAGTTAACTTTTTTTAATCATTAATTTTAAATTAATTTAATAATAATCAAACAAGTAATACAAATAATAAACATAAAACTGTAATAAATATAACCTTTCCTAATTTATATAGATAAATTTCTAATCGCCAACCGACAATGAGAATTTGTAATTCACACAAAACCTCTCAAATTTTCTATTCTGAATACATTTATTAATTGCTTCATATCATGTTGCCAAATAGATGAGGTCTTACCGAAGTTGATGGTGATAGTATATATTCATTTATTAGAGAGTTATTTACTATTACTCAGTGGACAGCGTTGATTGTGATATGACATTTTCAATTGCATGGGAAAGAAAGAAATATCTATTGTATATTGTATCTTGTATCCACTGTTCACCGATGGTGCCAAACTTTGTCATATATACAAATAAATTAAAGCCAGCATGCAAGTTTACACAATATAGACTTATTAAATGTCAAATTCTTAGCTATTTAATTAACCATAATAGCATGCTAAGAATCAAATATTTTGAAGAGTTTAAAAAATTAACTTCAGACTCAAAAGATCATTTTGTCTCTTACCCCAAAACGCTAATATTTGGATAATAAAGGTTCAAGATTTAATAAAAAAGAGAGTTCAAGTTTGACTCGCATATTAACTTATTAATAAATGAGAATTACATAATAATTAGTTAATCTGTCTATATATATATATAATCAGAGAGTATATATTTTTAAATATAGTTTAAATTTTTAATTTATTTTTCCTTAAAAAATAATATATATTATTCTTAATTTCTTTTCTTTTAATTTTTAATTTTTAATTTTTTTAATATATATAGATATATATATTCTATTTTAATTTTTTAATCTTTCCTCCTAACTTTTATTCCTTTAAACTTTGAAATAAAAATATTTTAAATTGATTATATATTTTTTCAATTTTAAATTCTTTTTCTTTTCATCTATATTAATTAGATTTTACTTGTATTCATTATACACATATTCTTTATAATTCTAGATAAATTTTTTTTTAATATGTAAGTTTTATATATTTTGATAAAATTTAAAATACTCATATACAATGCACAGGATATGCACATATTAAAAAAAAACGTCAAAAAATAAAATCTTTTGAAAGCTTAAAAAGTTAGGTTCAGACTCAAAAATTCATTTTCTTTCTTACAAAATGCCAGTGTTTGGGTTAATAGAGGTTAAAGACGTAATTTTATCTAACTAGATACTACATATTAATTGTTATGAAGATGAGGTTCATATAAGAACCAAATTATATATGTGTAACATTTGAGTTATTATGGTATTTAAATTTTTTTATTCTAAGTAATATCTGAGTTATGAAATATCTATACTTGATTGACTCAAAATATTTATTGTGATTGACTGGCTGTGTAGTTTTCTCAAATAAGCTATGTATAATAATTTTTTGTTATTACAGTTAATTAAAACTAGATTTAAAGTTTCTAAAATTACTTTAAATAATTTTATTTAATGTTTACCAAAATACACATATAAAAATGTGTGGGACTCATACTTTTTTTTCTCTCTCTTCTCTTCACATCGGTCCACATGAATCCCCACATACTTTTATATGTGTATTTTGGTGAACATTAAATAAAATTATCTAAATTAACTTTAAAAACTTTAACCCTTAAAAATATAGTGTAGTATCCACTTGACTGTTGGGTATAGTTCAAATGAGTCCAAATAAGAGCTAGTAAGCAGAGGAAAAAATTACAAGAGGTCTAGGTCAATTAAGGTTAAATTGTTATAAACATCCGATGTTTGCCAAACTATCTTCCAGTTAATTAAGTTCATTACTTTTTATGTAATAACTTGTTGAGAGTAAGATAACCTTAGGCACATAAAACAAAAAAATCCTTAAGCAACAGACAAGGGTACGTCAAATAAAATAAGAATATTTCTAATCTTACCATCTTTATTTATATATCTCAAAAGACAAAGTTCTTTCTGTGTTTATGGGTTTGCTGAGTTGAAATTTAGGGTTCCTTATGCCCTATCATAATATCGTTGGTTTATATTTTTAAATTGCTCATGTATAATTAGGGTGCAGAAATGATTTTTCACCATAAAGTTATCGTTGGGAAGATTTTGGGGTTCACAGTGATTTAATCTACTTAGGGGGCGTTTGGTACATGAGATTTTGAGGGATTCTCGGGAAACTGAATTTTTTTAAATTTTAAATTTTTAGATATTATCGTAAACTGAATGCAAAATCATATTTTTGAAAATCAAGATTCCCGGACAAATAAAAATTTCTCCTGTACCAAACGCCCCTTAGGGTTTTAAATTGAAAATTATGTAAAGTAAGTTTAGCATTTGACCACCACACAACTGCAGTTGCCGTGTCCCGATGAACTTCTCAATTATTTCATAAAGATTTCCAATTTCTAGATATGCAGGCTTTTTCTCTCTTTTGGCAGACAACATTTTAACATTTCATAAAGATTACTACTTGTATACGACATATCAGTTGACATAGTTAATTTTAACGAATAACTAAGAAATATAGAAAAGAAGATTCATCAGTTTTTTCATTTTACAACTTTAGATACAACAGGACTAAAGAGCTAGGGTTCCTGTGATTACTAGATTTGTTCTCTTGAAACACGAGTGTGTCTTTTTTTTAATTTTTTTTAAGATTAAATCTTAATATTCTCTCCAAGTAAGAAATAATTGCCTGTTAGTTTTTGTTTCCCTCTTCTTGTTTGACAGGTTATTTGAATTTTGAAGTACTCTGAATATAAAGAGACATACATACAACACCTAATTCGATTTTTCTGGTGTTTGACTCATTGATTAACTAGAATATACATATTTATGGAGAAGTATAAGCATCTCAATATTGAGACAACATATTGTAGAATTAGATGAGTAATCAAATCTAAATATTGTTAGATATCTTGAAAATTATATACATATATAGACTCCAATTTATACCGTGCAAATCTCACTGGATGTGGTCCCTTTTTCCAGCTATAAGTTGATTGAATGCTTTTAAGAACCTAAGTTGGTCCCTCATCTACAGCACAGCTAGCTATATATCTCGTCTGATTACAGCTGATCAGTCTCCAATAGCATATACATCACAACTTTTGAAATGTTAAGATAATGTTTTTTTTTAATGTTAATTAATTTGATATATTGATATTAATAACTACAAAAATGATAATTTATTTTCATTTTATTTTCTATTTTTAAGAGTTTGCAAAGGAAATTATAAAAAAAAAAAAAAACTTGTTCTAACCTTTCCTAAAATGTATATATATATATATATATATATATATATATATATATATATATATATATATAACATTTTTTAATTATAAATAAAAATATCAACTCAAAAAAAAAAAAAAAAAAAAACTGCAGGTATAACTTATCTAGTTGAATTTCTTCGATAAAAATATATCTACTTATCTAGTTAAAAAAAAACTGTTAGCTTTCTGCAACTAGTTGCAAATATCTGTCATGACTATTGGTATATTTATAAAACTGTATATGTGTGTTTATATATAACATATTCTTGGGTTATAATTTTTGGCTCACTAAAATTAGCACATTCCCACATTAGTCCATATTTTGTCATCAAATTAGCCTTTTTTAAGATTAATATGTCATAATATTAGTCCTCGGAGATTTTAGTCACCAAATTTGTTTCTCAAACATCTAAACTGTTATAAATTCGTCTTTGTTTTTATAAAATATTAAAGTAATTAATAATATAAAAGGACAAATTTAATAACTATTTGGCTCACTAAAATTAGCACATTCCCACGTTAGTCCTTATTTTGTCATCAAATTAGTCTTTTTTAAAGATTAATATGTCATAATATTAGTCCTTGGAGATTTTAGTCACCAAATTTGTTTCTCAAACATCTATACTGTTATAATTTCGTCTTTGTTTTTATAAAATATTAAAGTGATAATATAAAAGGACATGCAAATTTAATAACTATTTTATATGTTTAAAGGATTAATTTGATAGTAAAATTCTTTAGATACTAAACGCATTAAAATGTGAGAAACTAATGTGATGAATATATATATATAAAGGAATAATGTCATGCAAAGCTATTCTTAATTATATTTGTATTGTAACACTCATTAATTAAGCAAGTGATTGTTCAGTAAATCAAAGAAGTTAGTACTTGCAATTTGGTTGGCGTGCCAGTTCACAAAGGATGACACATGATCAGAAGTCAACTTTTTGATTGTTTTGTTTTTTTCCTTTTAACATTTACACATGCAACATGATGCTGTAAAATTAATTTCAATATTTCCTTACAAATTTTCTAAATTCTATGCTAAATATATAATTCCTTTGTAGGGAAAAGTTGAAGTCCAAACTTGAGTTCATCTTCTCAACTAATTAACACTGAAGAGTTCATTTTAGATGAATTTTATGCTGTGTCTACATACTTCTGCTTCCTCCTCCATTTCTTCTCTTTTTTGGCTCTCGTGAGAAGCGGATAACAGTTGACAGGTAAGTTTTTTTCTGGCTCTTGTGCTCATCATGCTTCTAATTTTTTCAGTGAAATCCTAATTTATATGCACAATTTCTGACCATGGCGGTGCTTCTGGCTTCGATTTGGTTTCTTAACTATCAATTGACTGAACAGGATTTTCTTTGCCCTTATTTTGGAGCAACATAACTTCAGCTGTCATGTAGAATTAGAAAAACTGATTTGCGTGTAGAACTTCCACAACTTTTTCTTTCTAATAACCCTTATTTAATAATAACACAAAAATATTTAGCAAATATAACTTCTTGTTTTCATTGTTTAATTATCAGGGGTTTGTTTGAAGTGCAGGAGAAAAGAGGGTGATGGGTTAAGTAAGATGATGATTGAAAATTCAAGTAATAAAGGTCAACAAGCCAAGCAAGAGGGTGATAGCAGTAATATTATTGAGAAGTTCTCCAAGGCACCCTCTACCTCAAGACAATGGACATCATTCAGAAATCCAAGAATTGTGAGAGTCTCACGTTCTTTGGGAGGAAAAGATAGGCATAGCAAGGTTTGCACCATAAGGGGACTCAGGGACCGGCGCATTAGGCTGTCTGTGCCCACAGCAATTCAATTATATGATCTTCAAGATAGGCTTGGGCTCAGCCAACCAAGCAAGGTCATAGATTGGTTGCTTGAAGCCACAAAACTTGATATTGATAAGCTCCCACCACTTCATATTCCTCAGGGTTTTGCTCAATTTCATCAACAAACCCTACTGCCTCATCATCATGAGTCAGGTACTACTCTATCCTCTCTTGGAGGCTTTTATGATGCTAATTCCCCATTTATGAAGGATAGGGGAAATCAAAACCTCATGGGAAATAGACTAAAAGGTAAGGAAGCTGCAAGTGTGTCCATCTCCAAAGAAGATGAACAAGAAAATCCAGATGGAATTGGTGGTTATAATAGGCAGAATTCAGCTCATAAGATCTTCCCCATTGGAAATAGCTCTTCTTTATCTGGGTTTCTAAACAATGTCATGACATTCAACTCTTACAATTCTCAGCCTTCAAGTTTATCTTTGTCCCAATTTGGAAGCCATGGATTATTTCCTTCCCAGGTAGATTCTGATCCAAGTAGTGGCAGTGCAGTGCAGTTTTCATCTTCTTTGCCTGTACCATTTGGTTCCCAATTACTTTTTTGTCCTTCTTCTCCTTCACTTTTTACTCCACATGCTCCATTTATGGTCAACTCAGAGGAAAGTGATCCAAGACAATTCAACCATATTCAGATCTTGAACTCAAGTTCTCAAGGAGTGTCTCATCCACCTCTTAGACGCCTTCCAACTCCATTTAGTTCCAGGCTTCTTGATTCAGATAAGGGTAATACTCGTTCTTGAAGCTCCTCTTCGTACTCCTTTTCTTGATGATGTCACTTTTGTTGATTGTATGCCTGCAAAGGATGTGAACAAGGCTTAGAGGGTATTCTTCAAAGAAATTAATCTAGATAATAAAGCACATAATTTACATTTTTCACACTCAGCGTGAAGATGAATAATTATGTAAGTATTACGGAAAGTATTAGTCTCATGCATGTTTCGTGCATAAATTATTAAGAAAAAATTGTGTGCACAATACATGCACAATATGGATGCTTTCCCTAATAATAAGTGTGACAATGCTGTACATATGGAATAATTGTGTTTAAATTAATCCTTGTGATTGTAGCTATAAATACATTGTTGACAAACCATTATGATTATGAATTAGAATAAATCAATCTAAAGTAGTATTCATGTGTTTAATGTGTTTATCTTCATATATAATCAATTTATTAATTGTATGTTAAATTAAGCATACTATTTTTTAGTACATACATGCACGTTTACCAGAGTCCAAACAAGCAATTTGACCAAGTCTTACCTATGCTTTGCTAGAATTTAGTGTTATTGCAAACTCAGATAGTCAGCATTTTAGTTAAGCTTGACATAAAGGAAATGTAGGATAATATGATTGATATCTGAAAGCAGAGATTGATAAGTAAGTAGTTAATACATTTATGTATATTTACATTTTTATCATTTACATTTTTATCAGTTGCATTATATAGAGAAACACAATATGGAAATTAGTTTCTTTTGTTAGATAAACTTCTGAGTACTCTAGTTAGAGGTACTATCAAGTCAGAATTTTGTTTTCTAAAGGAAAATACACTTTGAAATATTCTGCAAATTGAGAATGACAAGTTTGATTTCCCACATATGCATATATGTTATAGGTTTTGTCTTGCAAGTGTGGAATGGTTGGTTTGCTTGTTATTTTATCGTAAATCTATTCTACGTACTGGTCAATACATGGTTCTTTTGTTTTTACTACTTGTAAATGACTAAATGGCACTATATGGCGGAGGCTTTTTGACAGTTTTGATGCAAAATCCAAGATATATTAACAGATTAATTCTTTTGATAAATTATTTATAAAAAAAAATTGATAGATGAAATTAGTTTAGATGAAATTATTTATAAATTCAGTGCGAGTGAAACATGCATAGGAAGTGTGCGCGTTTAAATCACACATCACCTCATGTGTAATTTGTTCAAAAACCAAAAAACATCTATCATACGTATTGTGTTCTGCAAGACATACATGGAGTGCATGTGCGATTTGAACACATACGGCCAGGATGCGTGTCTTACATTACACTGATTTTTGCAAAAATTGCGAATGGCGGTGATGTGCGACTTAAACATGTACATTTTTCATGTGTGTTTCACTATAAATAGTTTGTTGTCAAAAGAATGAAACCGATGATATGTTTGTGTTTTTACTTCAACAGGATCAAAAATCCAAGGTTAAATAATGTGTCTTATTCGGACAGATCTAGATGAAGATTTTAAGCCAAGTAAACTCCTGGAGTCCATGACTTTCTCAAACTCTAGTAGGAATCACGTATGATTAAACATTATAGAAGTTTCACGTAGCATATATAACTAGCTAGCATGATAATTAACATGCAAATAGGAAATATGCATTGTGATCGACTGTTTAATTAACGGAGAACATCTTTCGAATATATATAGTAACCTAAATTAAATTAATCAATTTTCTGAAACCCCACATTAAACAAACATGCTGAATATCTAACTAAAAAAAGTGATTCAGAGATCCAAATTTCTATTGTCGACTTTGTTCGTGATATCAATTGTTTTGTCCTGGCAAGCAGCTGAGAGGTAATTGTTGCCACTGCAAGTTGTGAATCTTGTGATCATGGAGTCACAGGACAAAAACATGATGATTACTTTACCATTTAACCAAAACTCACTCTCTACTCTATGTACTAAATGTTCAATTATGATGGAAAGAAAATTTAAAACTGACAATGTACGATGAAATTAGATGCAAACTTAGAAATAACTTTTGGAGCTTGATAAATGACTTCTTGGATAATCTCTCTCATCCATGCATGCCATATGACACAAACATGATAGAGTTAAAAGAAAATGAAAAAAGGCTAATGAAAATGCAACTAAATGCAACCCCTCTATAATATATTACTAAAAAAACAACTATAATAAACTCTTAAAATTAAAAAAAAAAAGAAGATAGATCATGAGTAAGCCTAAAGATATATATAACTTTCTCCAGTATAGTGCATAGGCAATAAACCTCATCCACGCGCGTTTATCTTTGTATCATTTTTAGCATTATATTGATGAATTCATGGAGCTGATGAATGAATTAATTCCCTCTATACAAAGTGAGAAAATGTTTTTGAATCTATGGTTCTTCTGACCATGAAAATGAAGCAACATAAAATCACAAGCTTGTAAGCAGTCTGTGTTGCCAGTAGACAATAATATATCACAGGATCCAAGGTAAATTAAAGGAGACCCAGTTGTTGCTGCAATTTGACTTTTTTAAGGGTCCTTTAAAGGCGGCAGCAAAAAGAAAAATGAATAAAAGTTTTATTTGCCAGTGGTCCAGGTTCTAAGGTTTTAAAACTAAGAAAGAAAATAAGACAAAAATTAAGACAAGACAGCTACATTTATAATTTATAAATAAGTGAGGATATTTTAACTATCAAAAATTCTTACTACTAATTTACTACTCATCACATCACCATTGGATCAAAGAGAGAAAATGTTAAAAAGTTTTTAAAGAAAGAAAAAATGTTAATCTAACTGTGATTAGATAGATAGTAAATTGATTGTGAAAAATTTTAGTAACGAGAATATCCCTTCGCTAAATAAATATGATTTTATTTTGTTACAGCGGCCAGCAACGGAGCTTCGTCCGCTACATTACACTCATTTGCTAATATGTACAAATTAAAGTTGATATTCTATTGCGTACCCAAAAAAAAGAGAGTTGATATTCTATAAATAAATAAATAAAAACCTCTAAGAATTGTACATTGCTAAGTATTATGCTATAGTGACATGACTTTTTAATATTGGTGTCAGCTTAATCGTTAATTTTCATAAATTTAACCATTATAATTTATTATGTCACACTTAATTATTAATATTCAATAAATTATAATCGTTAAATTCACAGAAATTAATGAATAAAATTTAGTATCAAATTTTTTAGTCTTGTCCGCGATCATTATTTCTGTTTTAAGTTTTGCAAGCCTCAAACCGGATAATTATTCATGTAATTGATAAATCGGTGGAAAAGTGACAAAAATATAAGTGATATCCAACGAATTGTTATGAATTATATATAATTATTTATCTTTTTATATATTTATATAAAAAAATTGTTTTTACACATTGTCACTGAAAAAAATTACATTTTCATTCAAGTATGTATTAATGAGTTATTAAGAAAATTCTCATGATAATCATCTCAAAAGTCATACTTTTTTAATGATAACAAATTTATGGGAAAAGTCCAAAAAAATCCTATAGTTTTGCTTTAAATCATTTACATCCCTATGCTTTTTTTTAATCACTTATCCTAGGATTTTTTTCATCTAAATCTATCATTAATACGGTTAGACACTTAGTTAATCTATACACTTTACCCTTCTTAAAAAAAAAATAGACCGATGACAAAAAAAGGAAAAAATAAGATGAAAATGTTGAAAATTTATACCACTTACTAAAAATAGTAAAAGTAAAAAAAAAAATGGTCGTAGCTCAGTTGGCGTATGTGAGCTAAGCAGGTGGGGGTGAGAGCATGTGTTCGAATCTTCTCAGTATCACCTTTGGGAAGGATTTAAAGTCTTAATCTTGTACACGCCCCGAATCGAATTAGTTGTGAAGCAATGAACCGATTGTAATATTTTCACACAAAAAAAATAGTAAAAGTAAAAAAAAAATAAAGATAGAAGAAAAAAGATCAAATATATTGAAATCAAAAAGAATAAAATAGAATATGAACAAAAAATATAGAAGAAAAAATAAGACTAGATATGTTGAAAACTTACAATTGTGACATAAAAGACTAAAATGAAAAAAAAAGACTAAATCAGAGCGAGAAAAATAGACGGAAGAAACAAAATAAAAAATAGAAGTAAAATAAAACACTAATATTTTTCTATTTTTATTTTATTTTTTGTTCTCCATGTATTTTCTTCTTTTTGATTAGTTTGGTTTTTTTTTCTTTTAATTTTATTTTTCGCTTTTAGTCTTTTCTATCACTGTTGGTAGAAAAATTAAAAGAAAAAGAACTCAATCTTGTAAATTTCCAACATATTTAGTCTTATTTTTTCTTCTATTTATTTTTTTCTTAAGTCTATTTTTTTTATTTAAACTCTTTTTATTTTTTTTTACTTTTTATCTTTTCTGTTACTGTTGTAAGTTTTTAACATATTTGGTCTTATTTTTCTTCTTCTTTTTGTCCTCAATTTATTTTCTTCTTTTTTATTTAGACTTCTTTAATCTTTTTTTTCTATTTTCATTTTTTTAGTCTTTTCCATAAGTGTTGTAAGTTTTCAACTTATTTGGTCTTTACTTTTTATTTTATTTTTTAATATTTTTTCCAAATCTATTTTCTTATTTTAACGATGTTAAGGAAGAGTTTGGATGAAAAAATCACATGGGATAAATAATTTAAAAAAGCATAGGGGTGTAAGAGATTTAAGAAAAAATCATAGGGATTTTTTGGACTTTCCCCAAATTTATCTAATCTTATAAACTTAAGAAAAGTGTTTATCATTTTTAAATAATACAACTTTGTGTCATTTTAAATGAAACAACAATGTTTTGATATATATTTGTTGGTCTTTTATATTTTCTCTCCTCCATAGAATTACCAGGAAAGAGAAAGAAAGAATAATGTGAAAGAGAGAGAATGTAAAAAATCAACAAATACATACCAAAATACGATCGATTCACTTAAAATGACGCAAAATTGTGTCATTTAAAATGACTAACATTTTTTCTATTAACTTAAAACGATAAACATTTTTCCTATATAAGTTTATAAAAAAAATTAATCTTAATTTTTTTGTACAAATAGCATGCAATTTCTTTCCTCTTATATATTAGACTTCTTTTTTCCTAAACCATTTTACTTTATATATAACAATTTTTGTTGATATTCTTATCCTAATCTATACATCAAACCTTTTGATATTAAAATGAAACACGGTTTTAATTTTTTTTTCTTTTCCTGAAACAATATCAAATTTTGATGTAAAAATTTCATATAAATAACATTTATATATTATTATATCAATAAAATACAAACATGAAAGGACAAAAGCCAAAAAATATCATTGATTCTAAGGAGTACAT